CCCCTGTGCTCTTCCCTGTCCCATTCCCTCCTCTCCAGAGTGGGAGAAATTCTGTGACTTCGTTAACTTGCCATATAGCAATGGTATCATTTAGATAAGACATTTTTCTGCAGCTGTCAAGATGAAGGGTAATGTGAGCTGCAGTGAGCACAATGTCAATATTAGCCTTGGTGCCAGAACTGTCTCACCTTTTGACTCATTTCCTTTATCTTCTCCCTGGATCATTTTCCAGCACTTCCTGACTATACAGATTTCTGACATACACAACAGTATGGAACAAAATCAGGTTTTGTGGTTTCTAGAAGTTGTGGTATGTGGTTAGATTTCACCCTATAAAATCTACTAAACTTTCATAAAGTGCAGTCCTGTTTTAGTCTCTGAAACCTGCTGAAAAACACCTGTGACCCAAAAACTGTGTTGTCCATGATGTCCAAAAGTGCCTGGTGGCTCAGGTGCCCTGCAGGAGGAGGCATGCTGATGGCCCGTGTGCTGCTGGAAAACCAGCCCAGCTTAGATGTCTTGAGAGTAATCTAAAATACCAATTGCTTTTGAAAATTGTGACCTTCAATATGTAGTAATAAAAATAATAGGCATTAAGGACTGCAAGATCAAAATACCCCTAATTTTTTTTTTTTTTTTTTTGTCTGATTCTGTTTATTCTTAGATACTTTTTTTTTTTTTAATTTGTTAGGATTTCAGTCAGGTAGGCACTTTCAAAAATGACATCCATTGCCCTTGCCATGTTACATTCAGCAGTTCAACACGCCTCAGTGCACAGAGCCATAGTATCATATTAAGTTAATGGAAGCATAGACTGGATGTTAGCAAAACACCTTTTTTCATCAGAGTGTTTTCTTTTCAAGCCCTTGTGATCACAAAAAAAGTGCCAACTTCAAACCACTGAATGCTTATACTGATCCCACTGATGTAATTGTTAGGAGTTAATTTATAATTCTTGTCTTTCTAAAAGGTCCATTGTGATAAGATACTTTAATATAATTGTACAGGGCAGGAGTATTTTTGATAAGCAAACATATTCTGTCTTTGTTATGTACTTAACTGTTGAAGTATTTTGAGGTAAATACTTAGTAACGATGAAGGATTGTCTGGTTGGATTTTTAATCTTGTGTATATGCAGGAACCTCAGTCATACTGATAAATTAGGTGGTGGCTGCTGTGGAAAGGGACTTTCAGCTTGATTAGATCAAATTAAATTGGAAGCTTGATTTTTGTTTTTCTTATCCTTCTGAATGCCATGATTTTTGTAGCATAGAGGTTATTGATAGGTATCTGCATTAGAAACAGCATATAATGTTTATCTCATTGCAGTCTGCAGTTTTTGTACAAATGTTCACCTTGCACAGGGTTGAACTACTGTTTTTATTCAGGTTCTCTCTTTTCATTGGTTAATTCAAACACACTAAAATACGCACTTTTGCTTTCTTGATAGTCAAGAGGAAAAAAAGTTCAAAATCAGAAGCCAAGGGCACTGTGACTAAAGTAACAGGGAAAAAAATAACGAAGATCATTAGTTTAGGAAAGAAAAAGCCATCAACAGATGAACAGACCTCATCAGCTGAAGAAGATGTTCCAACATGTGGTAAGTGATTTTTCTCCTTGAGTCTTAAATGCACATTGCTACTAAATCTTTATACAATTCTTGGCTAGAAATTAGTCTAAAATTGCTTTTACTGCTATAATTCTTCCCCCAACATCAGAAGAATGCACTCAGATTGGAAGAGGAGTAACCGAGAGCTTTAATTTGAAAAGAGACTAAAAGAACTTGACTTTTTAAATAAAATGGTAGCACAGGCTCAGAAGGAATATCATTGCTCTTCGCAAAGGTGAGGGGAAAGAGAAGTGTAGACAAAAATCAGAAAGAAACAAGCTGTTTTCAAACGGATAAAAAATGAATATAGGCTGGAATATGAAATAAATTTAGTCTAGGAATTAAAAGAAGGTTCTTGGGAGGGATCTTTGATGATGGCTTGTGGTTAGATTTTATGGGATAGCAATCAACTTATCAGTAGACTGGCCTCAGCTGAAGTGATTTGAGTTTAATTGTGAGTTCCTAAAATGATACATATTGGGCAAAACTTGAATGAAGTAACAAATTTCTAGTAAGCTATTTTAACTCCTAATGTTGATCACTCCATATATCAGCTGTAGTGCTTGGCAGCACCAAGGAAGTCTATAAAAAGGCATGCAGAAAATGCTTCCATTTTGTATCTTAGCTGTTAAAGTTTGCTCACAATTTGGGAGTTTGTGCAAGACACTTAGCCGATGTCCTCACAGCTCTGGTATTATCAATCAGTGCCATGTATTTACATTCTTCTGTTTGCCTTTTGTTGCTGCAGTATTAAGCAACACTTCCATACATGAATAAGGTCTAACCTACCCTTCTCCCAGTCTCTTCCAAAAAATATTTCCGTAGAAAGAAAGCTGTGAAGCACTTGCACTGGATTCTGAATTTGGTTTTGCCTTTTCCCCTTTAATTGACGAAGAACATTTTGGGAAATGCAGAAATCTGTTATTAGGCAGCAGTTGGCAGAACTCATCAATGCATTAAGTGTGATTATATGCTTGCCTAGTGTGAAAGAAGCAGATCCATGGACCACCAGCAAGAACTTAAGTGGCTCTCAAGCCATACTATGGGAATCATTCACATAATCTTTGATTCAAAAGGGTATGTGTATATCTATATCTATACATCAGCTAAGTACAGATGTGATCTATCAACCAAAAGAGCAGCTGGGAAAAGCTGTGTCCATCCAGATGCACTGTCCGAAGCATCTGGCTTCCATAAAAGTTCAAACTTTCAGGGTCTCATACTCCATTGATTAGTCTGTATTATGTGAGACATTAACCACAGCTGTACAGTCTAATTCCTATTATTTCTATCATTATTTTGGATATGGACATAAACGTAGCCATTATTATTGCCTGCATTTGATTCTACTCAACACCACTTGCAGGTTTTATAGGAAAACATCTAAGTGTCTTGGCTTTGGTCACTGCAGGAAGTCTTTGCAGAAGGAGTTTCTCACCACCAGAAATTTGGCTCAGTTCAGTGCCCTCTGGGAGCCTGCTCCATAGTTGAAGGCTTTTACACTTTAGAAGGCTTCTACCTCCCATGAACAAAGGGAGAAGCCCAGCGGGGCTACAGGGGACACCCAGCTAGCGTGGAAACTAAAACCCACCTGCACTTGAAGTCATGGCAGAGCTCTTCCTTAGAGCATCACTGGTCTTTGACCACCTGGGCTAAGCTGAAGTACTGATCCCCCAACTGGGACAGTCAAGGCATTTTGGTCATGTCAACTGTTGAAAGTTTAAGTATGGATATGTGGGAGGAAAAGCATGGGATCCTGCTTAGTTCAACTGAAGTAGGAGGGTTTGGAAGAGCTTTTCTGAGAGATGCCTTGGGAGCAGAGGGGAAAAACAAGTACTGTCTGAAAAAAAGGACTCTCACTCCAAAACAAGCCAGCTGGCTTGCACGTGAAGGGTTTTCCATTTCTAGGGATTATAGTATAGTGCAGCTATACGGGGTTTTGTTACGAGAGGAGGGATAGGAGCTGGAGAGTGTGTTAATCACAAGGAGCCAAAATCGGAGGACTGTGTACATCCTCCTCTTTTTATGGCACCTTCCAAGATGTGTGCAATTCTGATCTGCTATATCCTGTTGGATCAAGCTTTAACATTCAAACCATAATGTTGGAAAGGAAACCCAGAAAATTAATGATAAGTCATAGTTTAATGAAAACCAAAGAGTTCACTATCCAACAGGATTAAATGAAAATCATACCTGAGATGGAAGACAATTTTTTTATATAAATTCTGGCCTGTGCAAGATATCATTTGTTTCCCTCCTCAATATCCTGTTTGGAAGCAGCAACATGCTGAATTCATGTACCACTGATAATGTGGAAGCAAAAGTAAAAGATTTTTTTCTTTTTTTCATTCCCAAACTAAATAAGGCAGGAAAATTGGGTATTGTCTTGATTTTAAGGTTTGAGTATAGAATGATTGTTGCTGTGCAACAGAAAAGGAAAACCACAAAACACTGCCCATTTAATGTTATTATATGCCTAGACACTGTATCTGAGATAGAGCATGATAAGAGAAGTGGGTTTTTTTTAGAAGAGAGTTTGTTCATGAAATTTTGATTTGTTGTAAGGGTGCTGTATTGTCCTTGGAAAAAAAGATAATATTTGTTTAAACCTTTGTCTTAAAATTTAACTAAATTTCATATACAGTTACTTCTTGAATTTTAAACCAATACGAATTTTATTTTTATTGCTATCAAGTGCTATTTTTTTAAATTCTGATTTAAAACTGTGGCAAACCAAATATGCATTCTTCTTTCTATATGAAATTAGAACACATAACATCAACGCTTAGTAGGTCTTTGAAACACTGATTTTGGATGTTGTGGAAGGTAACTCATCACTGAATTATAAAATCTGAGCTGTGATTTTCCCAGAAAATTTTGATCAGCCACAGTTACCAAAGCCATTACACATAGAGAAAGTGGGTCTTCTGTGTGAGCACATCAGCTGTAACATTTTTATCACTGTCCCTCTCTTGTATCTTACCAAAGTCTTGGGAATCGGTGTGCTCCTGCTGATCCAGCTGCTGCAGTGACTAACACAGAGCAGCACATGAGCATGATCACATCTTTATATGCTGTTTTCTAGGTTATTGGCACAGTGAAAGTTTTCATTAAAGAAGTGAGGCAGGGTCATTGTCTTCCTAAAATCCATCTGGACTTTCTATTATAAAGGGAATAAGTTGTTTAAGTGTAGCATTACATTGAAAAGTAAGTTGGTTTTTTTCTTTTCAAAAAAAGTTGAGAGTAAAATATCTCACATTTCATTTTATTGCAGGCTATCTCAATGTGCTCTCAAATAACCGTTGGCGTGAGCGCTGGTGCAGAGTGAAAGATAATAAACTCATTTTCCACAAGGACAGGACAGATCTGAAGACACACATTGTTTCTATCCCTCTCCGTGGCTGCGAAGTCATCCTAGGACTGGATTCGAAGCATCCCCTGACCTTCCGCCTACTCCGAAATGGGCAGGAGGTTGCTGTGCTAGAGGTGTGGTGGTTGCTAATGGCTATGACTTGTAGGAACACCCACACGCTAAATTAGAGAAGCTCTTTTATACAACCTGGCCATTACAAAAAAATATCTTTGGAATAATAATATTGCTGAGCTGGATAGTAAATACTGGAAGGAGAAAAGAAATACTAAGAGTTGTAGGGAAGGAGAGAACTGAGATTTAATGCAGTTCAGAAATCTCAGTAAGATGCTTTTCTCTACACTGACCTTCCCTTGACCTGCTACTAAAATATCTCTGCTCCTTCTCTAGGCACATGTTCACATCAGGGATATAATTGGGTTGAGTAAATAAGTTACCAATAGTTAAATAATGGATCATTGTTGATGGGAACTCTAGAGCTCTTAATTCTCATTTGTTCGCTACTTATGTGAACTCCTTTTGCTCAGTCTGTATCCATATTAAGGTAATTCTGCGGTAAGAAAGTACAGTGTGCAAGCAACCTGGTAAGTCTCCTAGCACACTCCTTGCACTGCAAAGGTCATACCTTCAGCTGTGTTAGATGGGCCAGGATTTTTTGAGGGGCTTTATTCATCATATTTTGAAAGCTGAAATGAGAAAATACTTAAAGTTGAGTATAGTGAAGATGTAAGAGGAGACACCCTTTTGGTTTTGGTGACAGGATGGATATTTTGACCACTTTGGGTTGCCGACTGCAGGTCACATCAGTTTCCTGTCCTGACAACCAAGCCTGTTACATGTGAGCAGTTCAGTGCTGAAAAACTACAAAGCAGCTCAAGGGACTGTGAAAGGGAATGAAGTATTTAAAAAGAACAACAAATTCAGAAACCGCAGAGTTGCCTTCTACACCTCCCCCCCCCTCTTTATCCATTATTTATTTTGCTATTGGTTTTTTACTACTTCACAATTGGTGACTTGCAGCAAAATATGAAAAAATTAAAAATATTTTATAGTATTCATATTTGTACTTGGGCGTTTAGGAAAATGAATGCAATCATCTAGACAAATTTATTGGAATTTTACAAAAAACATTAAAAATTCTTTACTATTTAGTTCCCACCCACCTCATTTCTAATTAGCACAAACGTTTTCTTCTCAGGAGTCATGCCAACTAAAATCCCCCAGTCTAGTGTAGAAAAATAATTCTGTTATAGCTTTCAATTTTCTGAAGTCTAAAATAAGCATGACTTGAATCTAATTCCACTAGCCTTAAATGATTGTTTTTCTTCTTTTTTGGAGATTGCTCATTTTGTATTATTACATCATAACTGATGAGCACATAGCTTTCTTAAAGTGCACTTCTTCTACCAAAGCAGATTTAATAAGAAATCCTGGGGTTTTTAGGAGCTCAGCAGAGAGAAACCAGAGCTTCTCATACAATGTGGTAGCAATTTGTCAGCCAAGAAGAATGCACCTTTTTTCAATAACGCTCAGCTCAGCGGCAGAGTAAAGATCTGACCTACGTTCTTGCCCTCTCCTCGCAGGCGTCCTCCTCCGAAGACATGGGCAGATGGATAGGAATTTTGCTGGCGGAAACAGGGTCTTCAACAGACCCCGGAGCTCTGCACTATGACTACATCGATGTGGAAATGACGGCAAGCGTCATCCAGGCTGCAAAACAGACCTTCTGGTGAGAGGCATTCAGCTACCCGGGTGTTTCCAGTACTCTGAGAATTTATATTCACGTGTTAACTCCAGTGCCAAGATAGCTTATCAAAATCCACCTCTGCCTTTGCCAGATATTGAACTCCTTAAGTGTTTCAGCATCACAGCATGTTAGATGTGTTTATGATTATTGTGTTGCATCCTGCTAAGTTCTGTAAAAGATACAGACACTATCCAACTTTACTCAAAACTTTATTCATTTTTTCAGTACATCTCCTTATCAAATGCTATATTTTAATCTTTTATTTTGGCTGAAGACTTAGAACTGTCTCTGGAAGAGCACAAATTTGCTTAAAGATGCAGCTATGTAGTTCGTGTTTTACACTAAAAATGTATAGCAATTTTAAGTCTTCAGTAGTCACATTCTCAGTGTTACCTTCTCAAGTTCTTTATGATTAATTAAAAACTTCATCAAGCTTACACAAGTCCGATTAATTTCTGGGATTTAATTTAGGAGGTGGAAATTGGGAAGGTGTCTAGGGCGCAGCACAGAATCTCTGTTTAAATGAATGTACAATGAATTCCCCATTACTGATTGTGTGCTAAGAAAAGTAATGCATACTTAGCATATATAGTGCTATACATGTTCAAATCAGCTTAGGAATTAAAGAAGTCTTCGGTGGGAAAGGGTAGTCATTTCTCCTTCGCTACATGAGGTTGTTTAGAAATGGGAGTGAAGGAACAGCTGGGACAGGTGGGATGCCCTGCTGCAGACCTTCCCCATGGTTTCCCATGGTCAGAAAGTGAATGGCCTGAGAATACAGCTGGCACAGGCATCATCCCTCATCTTGCTGCAAAATGAGACTCCCTACACAAATTTGGAATTTGTGTGACTTAATATGTTAGAGAATCACACCCCATCTGCCTGTCATAACTCTAAACAGCCTGAAAATGCAGGGAGGGGGAAAAAAAGCATAAGCTTCAGAGTTTTCCAAAAGAAGATTCTCCTGCCATTAGTGAGGAGTTAAGAGAGCTCTAGCAAGGGAAAATGCACAGCTTCAGTCAGGATCTGGTTTGAATGCCTTCTGATGGAAATCAAAGTGAGTCAGTGTTACCACAAGCCCAGTTTTGTGAAAACCAGATAATTTTGATAGAATCAAAAAGCATTTAGCTTACAGACTTATGTTAATACGTGTTTTAAGTTAAGAGGGCTCAAAAGGTTTATCCTGTGTTGACATGTATTTTTGCTTCAATCAGCATCTAGCAATAACCACATTTAAGAAAGGAATAGAATGAAAACCTTTTCCCCCTGAATAGTGCGTGGCTTTCCTTTTCTGAACAAATCTGATATTAATTGGAGCCAAGTGAAAAAACATATGCAACCAGACCACATGTTAGAAAGGAATGTCAAACAACTTGCAAAATAGCAGAATTCCCCTGTTAAGAATTAGTTAACATTCATTGGGTGTCTTTAAAAAACTGGAAGAGCTTGTTGATAAACAACTAGAGTAGCTGTCTGCTCATTTTCAACTGCTCCTAGAAAATGAGGAGAAATTACAATGATACTTAAGTGTTAATAAAATACTATTGTACTTTATAGAATGAATATCAGTATTCCAAATTAATTGCAGTTATCATTACAGCACAGTCACTTCCCAAATATTGGTTATTTATTTCCTCTAACTGATTCTTTGCAAAATGATCAGCTCTTCATTAATAGTCCCATCAATTTTCTTCATCTGAATCACTAGGTATTTTGGAAAGGCTGAAGAAAAAAATGCTTCCAAGCAGATTCTCTTCATTTCCTTTCCTATTTAGCAGTTTCAGAATACAGTTAGTTTATGTGGATGCGTCTGTAAACAGGATTAATGAGGCTTAATGAAATAATGCTTATGAAATGTTTGCAGATACTTAGATAAATCTTAGCTTCCTTTGGTAGTGGAAATAGTTACTACAGGTGCAGCAGATATCATTAATGAATATCACAGTTTTCAGACATGGTTATTATGCATCACTCTTATTGAAGCTACTTAAATAGAAAGAAATACAGTAATGACTCCAATGCAGTCATTCAGACTAACCAGAAACACTTGAGTAATAGTCTTCATTAAGAAGAACGGTAAACAAATGCAGCCCTTTAATAATGTCTAATAAAGTATGAGATATGATAAAGTTAAAAACATTTTTATCATGGAATTAATCTTGGGCTTTTTGTTGTTTGTTTGTTTGAAGTAAGAAAAGCTTCTCTCTCATGATTATTCCACCCCTGCACTGCCCTAAAAGGTTCACACCCAACTGGGTTGGTTCGTCCGTCCTGTGAGCCTGGGTCTCCTGCGGCTCAGGTGAACCACAGTTGGATGAGGTCTGTCTCCCTCTGAAGGAGAAATTCAATGGTCTCCATGTTATTCCAAAGCTAAAAGAAAGCAACTGTTGAAACCACAGCATTCTTGAGCTCCAGCCAGCGCTACAGAAGACCCTTTCTGCTTTAATAGGGCTTTATCATATTTTATGAATGTCAGCACAGAGTCTGAATGGTTCCATTGTTTGGGATGGAAAGCTTTGTTTTCCCATTCATGTACACCTGAAGCTGTAGGAATTATTAGGGATTTCACTCTATACCTCATTCAACTTCAGCAGTTGCTACAAAGGAAAACTCACCCTTGGGGTTGTTATCACTACGGAGCATGATTCTGCCATTTTTTGCATTATTAGATCTCTGCAAACCCATTGTAGCCCATGATATCTTGCACATGTTCTGCAGAATTCCAGTAAAACAATCTACAATGTTGATTGAGGGGATGGGAGAATAAATATATGTATATCTACATGTATATAATTTTTGAAGTTTCCAGAAGACTCAGATCCACTGTGTGAAACACAGCAAGAATGAGCAGATAGAGTATCTGCATACACAGTTACCCAGACATAGTTGGGAAGTATAGTGCCATTGTGCACACTGTACCAAGGCAAAACTTCTGATATGAAAAAAAAATTTCCAGATTTTGAGGAAGTAATTATTCAGCAAATTTTGAAATTTTGATAGATATGTTAACTTAGACTTCATCAAATTTCCACTTTTTGTTTTTCAAATTTAAGTTGGATTTGATTCTTGTTTCTCTCAGTTCCTAAGTTCACATCCCCCCTGAGGATGCATGCACCCAGAAACACCTGCTTCTCCCCAGTGCAGACAACAAGGGAACTTTTATGAGACACTGGCAAGCTGATTTATAAGATAGATCAGCAAGTTCCCATGTAAACATGCCACTGAGCAGTTACAGCTGTTGCCCTCCTGGCTTTCACACAGTCATATCCCCACTGTAAGAATGGAGTACAGGAACACATGGTGTAATATTGGCTGCTAGCAGCAACATGTGAGTAGCAAAAGAAGGAAAACTGTCCTGCAGAAAGTGAGAAGATATGTGCTTCCAGGCGACGTAATCAGATACAGGGAACATACCACTGAATCATCATTTAGACTTAGGTTAAAGCACTGCTTTTTATTATTTTTATTTTGCTTTGTTCAGTTTCATGAACAGACGAGTTATTTCTACAAATCCGTATCGGGGAAGCACTGCCAATGGCTACGCCTGTCCGAGTGGAATGGCACTTCATTACGATGATGTTCCCTGCATAAATGGATCGGTAAGAATTGAATTTGCACAGAACAAATGGTTTGCATGTGTTGAATGCATGGACATCTGAAAACTGTATTATCTAAAAAGCCCCACTGGGCAGTTTCCAAATGAACTCCTATTTTTTTGGTTGGAGGCTGCAAACTTCTCTCACACCTACAGAGTATTAGGGGTGCAGGACATACTGTTTACATTAACCTGCTTGTGAGCCAACGTGCATTTAGAAAGGAGTTGCCTGTTGACAGACAGTTTGTTCTAAGTCCTTGAATATAATACTCACTTGAGGGGGTATTTTTTAGATCACACCAGACCTGGCAAAATTAAGGACTGACTTACACCAGGCACTTTTTGGTGTCTGTTGAAAAAAAACCCAAAACCCAAACACTTCTCAGTCCCTGGGTCAGCATTGCTTATGACAGCAGGTACTGCTCATTCCAAAGGAGAACAACAGTGATCACTTCCATCTTCATAAATTGCAGAGCTGATCGTAGGCCTATGTGTAATAGGATTTAACACATAGTGGATGTTTACCCATAGCAATATGTGGTCCTCAGGAAGATTTACAGGGGAGCTACAGCCCGTTTCACCTCTTAAATGGGGCTGCTTCATAAAGGCCTTCACTAAGGCCAAACTCAAGAGAAATTCAGAGTTTTGAAGTGTGAAGTGGACTCCAAGTTCCGTGCTCCATCATATTTTAGTAATGTCAAAAAGATGGTAGAAAGCCCCTCTTGGGAACAGCACACAACCACATGTGTGGTGAGTAGTCTGTATGTGTAGTTCTTGGATGTGCTCATGCCTTTGAGTAGCGTACTGCCACAGCCAGAATAGATTAAGGAAGGATATTTGGCAACCAGGTTGGTTTCTTTGAAAATGAATCGAATGAATCACTGGAGTGTTGTTGTTGAGCTTTCCATTTTCCTGAAAAGACAAATAAAAAAAAAAAAATGCCCTGTAGCTATTTTAGCTGGCTAGCCCAGACTAATAATTCTCCAGCAAATAAAATGTAATGCTAGCATACCAGCAGCTGGTATTCACTGGAAACACGTAGCCTGAAGAAAGAAAAAAAAAAAAAACAAAAAACAACCCTCTTGGCTTCTGCTAACCGTTAGGCCATATTACTTTTAACAACTCATGTACCAGATGTAATCCCACAGATTCACCTGTGTAGCCTATGAGTATCCCCCTGTTAACACAGTCTGCCTGTGCCCCCTCAGTGCTATAGCCAATAACTGAAGGTGCAGTCTGTGAAACGGCAAGGGTGATAGGATAGTACCAGGTTGCTCATTCTATGGAAGAAGCACAAGACTGAGGCTACAAGCCATGTAATGCAATGCTTCCTTTCCATGCTGTGTCCTTCCACACTTCCTAAATAGTTTGACTCTATGTAAGCAATAAGCATATGCTTGCTAAACACCAGGGCTTGTGACCGTCTAAAGAATTACTAATGTTGTAATTTCACTTAGGAGGGTCTGCATGGTGTATTGTTTACTAACTGCCAAAGTGTATGTGTTGCAGTGGGAACCAGAAGATGGCTTTCCTTCTTCTCGTAGCAAGAACATTGGCGAAGAAATGCTTTATGATAACGCAGGCCTGTACGATAACTTGCCATCTCCAAAAATCTTTGCGCGCTATCCGCCAGCTGACAGAAAACCCAATAGGCTATCTACTGACAAACTCTCCTCTAACCATTACAAATACCCTGTCTCATCCAATCTGTCTTCTGCTCAGTCTATCACTAATACCTCTGCTGTGGGGAGGGGATCTGGCTCGCAGGTACTGTACTGTTTAATACTTAACAAAGCTTTTTATTTTTTGGCTGTTGGGTTTATCTGGTTTTATCTTAAGGACCTTGGGCTATTTCAGTCCCTTAGTGTTAGCACTGAAGTGCTTGGACTTAAGTCATGAGCCCACTGAAAATGAAACAGGTTTGCTAAGTTGTAAATTCTGATGTGAAAGTATTGGCACCTGGGAAAGGCTTTCCCACAAGTTCTTGATGATTTACAGATTGCGGATAGTAACAAAAAAATAGATGTGACCTTCCAAACTTAACCTGAATACATATCTAACTGCCTAGTGATGACTAAAAAAAAAAATTAAGTATGACCTGTCTGTGACAGCAAAGTTGCCCCTCTAGAATTTTACTAATCTGTATATTATAATTACTATGATTATATATATTGTGAATATAGATATATATCTTAACATATATTATATATATATACACAATTATATTATTTATAGTGTATGTACCATATTTAAATTACTGCCTGCTATTTTCTTCCCCTGAAAAAAAACTAAGACTATGTCTGTGCTGCTTTCTGAGTGTGGCCTCGGGCTTCTGGATGTCAGCTGAAATGTGAAGCTACGGAGCAGATGAAATCCTGTGTTCTCAGTCTCAGGAGCAGATAGGCAGACCCCAGCAAGGGGGTAGAGCAAGCTTTGCTCACAGCCACACCAGAGACCTTCTTAAGAGCCTGTAGCCAATCTCCAAAAGCTGGTTAATGGCATAAGCCTGTGAATATACCACAAAGATGGGTGATTTTCAAAGGAATCTGAAATGGAACAGTTAGATAGTGTTTCCCTTGTATAAGGTACCTTTCATATTGCATATGACATATCACTTAACACTTACAAAAACTTTGGAATATTGGAATATTAAAATTCAGTAAGGTTGCAGAATTGGAGTGGACCCAAAAGTAGTCCTCAAAAGCTTTTGAAAGCAGGTGAACAGAGCATGGCACAGGCATCCCCTGTGCTCAGTGAAGGCATCCCTCATGGAAACACGACGATTAGTCAGAACAATGTTGCTCTTCCCAAGGTTCAGTTCACTGCAGGGGAGACCTCTAAATGGAAACCCTTTGGATATGAAATGTGCTGGGCTTGGTAATCTCGTGAGCTTGTCTGGCCATCATCAGAGGGTTTTTTAACTAAGAAAAGCTTTTAATTTGTATTTAGAGGTTGTAGAAGAGGAAATTAATATTTAAAAATATGTAATCATTGTATTGTTAAAAAAAAAATCGATGCACCACAAGGATGGCAAGATCATATAGTAAATAAGAAACAGTGTTGAATTTTTGTGTGACAAACCATGTTGGGGTTTTCTGTATGAAATTAACTCTGACAAACCTGTGTTTCAAGAATCTTTACTGTATAAAAGTATTCAAAGGTACAACTTTTCTGCCTCATGATGGCTTTTTTAATACTGTAAATGCAAGGAGTTTAAATAACTTGGAGACCATGATGCCACCAGAACTGGGGAGTTCATCCCCTTGTTATCCTGTGATTGCTGGTGCAGCTCCTGCTGAGCAGGCAGCTCTCAGAGACAACATCTCTGGAGGAGGCACAATCTCCAGCTCAGTGAATGTGCTCTATTAAGGCTCTCCAAGCAGGTGGCTTTTTGTCAAACTTTGCCCTTGATGGAAGGGTGACTAATGCCAGTGGCACAGGAATAGCTCAAGCCCATTTGTACTTTTCTTTTCAAACAGTTTAAAGGTAAGAAGCCTCCTGCGACTGCTAATGGGATCACTGGAAAAGGGAGAACTTTAAATAGCCAGCCGAAGAAATCTGAATCGGTATCATGTGTGAAGCGCACCGCATCCAGTAAGTATCTCTCCTCACTGCTGCTTCACTTGTGAATGGAGTCATGAGGCTACCCAAAATAGCTGTCTTCTTAGCAAACAAGATAAAGAACCATTGTGGCTCTTCTGTGACTGAGAAGCTGAGCAGGAGACATTAAACAGGAGATACTGTGTGCATTAGTGACTCATTAGTACTCCAGCTATGCCATGACATAAAAGGTTGTCATATGGGAACAATAAATATGAAATGTGGACTTGTAGCTGCCAAGTCATGAGGGCAGCAAGAAAAAGGAAAGGATAATGATTGTTCATTTGGAGCAGAGAGTAGTTCTGTATTCTTGTTGGAAGAGGAGAATGAGCTGGGAAAGACACGAGAACATTAGTTTCCTCAAAAGTGGACTTATCACTAATGAAAAAGAAAAAGTTAAAATAATGAAGACAACCACACAGCTCAAAAGCTTCCTCAGAGAGAGGAGATTTCAATTGGTGAGTGGTAGGTTCAGAAAGAGGGTTCATCTGGTCAGCTGGTTTGCCTCTAGGAAATCCCTAACAGAGATTGCTTTGTGTAAAGAAGATGACAAAAAAGAGCTATAATCCTGTCTTTTAAATATGTAATCAGAAGTATGGCTCCTAGAGGAGTGAATGTGTTTGTTTAATTCCATGATAAATTTTTAAGAAATCATGGATTTAATGGCAACAAGGGAAATTTGGGATACAGTAGGAAAAAAAGTATGTATATTTCTAACCATGCAAGTCAGTTGGTACTGGAGTAGATGGTTGTGGGAGTAAAGGCATCTCAGTTACTAAAAAGGAGCTAAAACTGGTTTGACAGCTATTTGTCAGGAATGGCTGTCTCTTTGAGTTTGTCTTCAGATAGACAGACTATCACTGGTAGCTGACCTATTTTCTTTGAGTCTGCAACTGGGGCAGAGGTAGAGGGGAGGCTGTGATTATAAATTAGACCATAGAGACATAGAATCCTAGAATGATTTGGGTTGGAAGGGACCTTAAAGATCACCTAGTTCCAACTCCCTGCCATGGGCAGGGACACCTTCCACTAGCCCAGGTTGCTCAAAGCCCCGTCCAACCTGGCCTTGAGCACTGCCAGGGAGGGGGCAGCCACAGCTTCTCTGGGAAACCTGTGCGAGTGTCTCACCACACTCACAGTGAAGAACCTCTTCCTTATATCTAATCTAAATCTACCCTTTTCCAGTTTAAAACTGTTACTCTTTTTCCTATCACTACATGCCCTTGTAAAAAGTCCCTCTCTGACTTTCTTGTAAGCCCCCTTTAGGTACTGGAAGGCCACTGTAATGTTTCCCCAGAGCCTTCTCTTCTGGACAACTTCAACTCTCTCAGCCTGTCTTCATAGGAGAGGTGCTCCAGGCCCATGATGGACTTCATGGCCTCCCTTTGCACTCACTTCAACAGATTCATGTCCTTGATGGGGAAAAGTTTGGGGCCTCAGAGCTGAAGAAAGTACTCCAGGTGGGGTCTCAGGAGAGTGGAGTAAAGAGGTAGAATCACCTCCCTCCACCTGCTGGTCACACTTCTCTTGATGCAGCCCAGGACACAGTTGGCTTTCTGGTCTGCATGCACACATTGCTGGCTCAGAGTCAGTTTTCCGTCCACTCATACACCCAGGTCATTCTCCACAGGGCTGCTCTTAATCCACTCATTGCCCAGCCTGTATTTGTGCTTGGGATTGCCTTGGCTCATTTGCAGGACCTTGCACTTGGCCTTGTTGAACTTCATGAGGTTTGCATGGGCCCACCTCTCAAGCCTATCAAGGGCCCTCTGGATGGCACATCCCTTCCCTCCAGTGTGTTGACCGCACCACACAGCTTGGTGTTGTTGGCAAAATTGCTGAGGGTGCACTCAATCCCACTGTCCATGCTGCTAAAAAAGATGTTAAACAGCACTGGTTCTTCTACAGACCCCTGAGGAACGCCACTCGTCACTGCTCTCCACTTGGACATCAAGCCATTGACCTCAACTCTTTGAGTGCAACCATCCAGCCAATTCCTTATCCACCAAGTGGTCCATCCGTCAAATCTGTGTCTCTCCAATTTAGAGACAAGGATGTCATGTTGGACAGTCAGATGCTTTTCACAAGTCCATGTAGATGGCATCAGTTGCTCTTCCCTTATCTACCGGTGATGTAACCCCATCGTAGAAGTCCACCAAATTTGGTAGGCACAAGTTGCCCTTAATTAAGCCATGTCGGCTGTCACCCATGACCTTATTTTCCATGTGCTTGAGCATAACTTCCAGGAGGGTCTGCTCTATGATCTTGCCAGACACAGAGGTGACACTGTAGAGGGACCTGTAGTTCCCTGTGTCTTCCTTTTTTCCCTTTTTAAAAATAGAGGTTATGTTTCCCCTTTTCCAGTTAGTGGGAACTTCACCAGACTGCCACAGCTTCTCAGATATGATGGATAGTATTTTAGCCACTTCATCTGCCAGCTCCCTCAGGGCTCAGTCCCATCAGGTCCCATGGACTTGTGCACCTTCAGGTTCCTTAGATGGTCTCAAACCTGATCTCATACAGTGGGCAGTTCTTCATTCTCCCAGTCCCCGCCTTTGTCTTCTGCATCTTGGGCAGTGTGGCTGGAACCCTTGACAGTGAAGACCGAGGCAAAACAGCCACTGAATACCTCTGCCTTCTCTGTGTCCTGGGTAACCAGGTCTCCCGCTTCCTTCTGGAAAGGGCCCACGTTTTCCCTAATACTTCCTTTTATCACCAACGTACCTATAGTAGCTTTTCTTCTTGCCCTTGACGTCTCTGGCCAGAGTTAATTCTGTCAGGACTTAGGCCTTCTTAATGTATCCCTGTCCTCTTGAACAGTGTCTCTGTATTCCTCCCAGGCTGTCTGCCCTTGCTTCCACCCTCTGTAGGCTTCCTTTTTGTGTCTGAGTTTGTCCAGGAGCTCCTTGTTCATCTGTGCAGGCTTGCTGGCATTCTTACCTGACTTACTCTTTGTCAGGATGCATCTCTCCTAAGCCTGGAGGAGGTGATCCTTGAATATTAACCATCTTTCTTGGGCCAGTCCTCCTTCCAGGGCTTTATCCCACAGTACTGTGCCAAGCAGATCCCTGAAGAGGCTGAAGACTGCTCTCCTGAAGTCCAGGGTAGATAGCTTGCTGTGTGCCCTCCTTGCTGCCCTAACGATCTTGAACTCCCCTATTTCATGAGCAAGGGCAGCCTTGGCTGCTGTTGAGCTTCACGCCCCCCACCTGCCCCTCGTCATCGGTGAGAACAAGGTCCACCATAGCAGCTCTCCTCCTTGGCTCCTCTGACACTCAGAAAAGGAAATTATCAACATATTTCAGGAACATCCTGGATTACTTATGCCCTGCTGTGTTGTCCCTCCAACAGATACTGGAGTAGTTGAAGTCCCCATGAGGACCAGGGCTTGTGAAGATGAGGCTGTTCCTATCTGTCTATAGATGCCTTCATCTCCTTGGTCTTCCTGATTGAGTGATCTGCAACAGACCCTCACTAAAATGTCACCTGACCCTGCCCTCCCTTTAATCTTGACCCATAAGCTCTCAGTCAGCTCCTCATCCATCCCCAGGCAGAGCTCTTGTCATGTGAACCATGAAATGAAAGCATTTATATGGGAAACTAAGAAAAGAAAACTCTCAAGTATCAAAAAAATGAGAACATCTTTGTATTCTGTCATGTCAGGTGAGAAAAGACATTTGCTTTAAGAACCTGAAGTAAGAATGGAAACCAGGCAAAAGGCCAAATGAGTTTTTCCTCTGACCCCTTCCAATTAAAAATCAAGGAGCCTCCTTTCTTTCCTCTACATAGAAAGGCAAGGCCATTTTTCAAAACCAATGTAGTGTAAGGTAACTGGTATTTCTCATCTTCCCCATATAAATGTAGAGAAGAAGCTAGCTATCTCATACTGTTTCTATAGCCGTGCTGCAGAACTGAGCAGGAATCATGGACCTTGAGAAAAAGACAGTGGAAGATGGATGGCAAACCAGTTTCTCAAACTATGAAATGCTTTATGTGATGTTCAGTCTCAGGGAATAGTTTAGAGTTTTAGTGTTAATTTCAACCATAAATAACTACAAACCAATACATGCAGATGCAGAGCAGTACAAATACGGCAAAAATCGTGTGGAGGCAGATGCAAAGAGGTTACAAAGCAAAGAGGAGGAGCTGCTAAAGAGGAAAGAAGCACTCCGGAATAGGCTGGCCCAGCTCCGAAAAGAAAGAAAAGATCTACGCGCTGCCATTGAAGTCAATGCTGGTATGAGGTGCTTTTTTTGTGCTGAATTCTGCCCTGGGTGGGCTTAATTATCCAAATAGCTTTGTATTCTATGCTGAAGACATGCCACTACATGAGGTTTGGGCTTGATGTTAAACAATACTCTTTAATGTGTATTTGCTTTCTATATAGATATAAAATATATTATATAAATATTTATATTGTATGTATGTGTAGGTGTATATACTTCTATACATACTTTATATATGTGTGTGTGTGTGTGTGTGTGTGTATATATATATATATATATATATATATACACACTCCCTTATGAAATTACACTGATAGGGACTTCAAACAGGCAGAACATGGGAATAATTTTATTGTGACTGGCTAATTATATTTTCATGACATGGAAAAATATCAAAAGAACTACTGATTTGAAACTAGACTAGAAACCTAGGGAAGACACTTAAAGAAAGCATTTGATTTCTGTTACTAAGCTTACTACATGAAAAAAGGTTTTTTTGCAAAGTACATAATGTTTTTGTGGTGTCACTGATTTTTAAAGACCTTGTTCCTTTTTTTAAAAGACAATAATTTCTGAAAGTGTCAATTTAAGGTTCTTACTGAAATAATAACATTGCTGTGGATGACAGGTAGGAAGACCCAAGTGATTCTTGAAGACAAGTTAAAGAAGTTGGAAGAGGAATGTAAGCAGAAGGAGGCTGAGCGTGTAAACCTGGAGCTAGAACTGACCGAGGTGAAGGAGAGCCTTAAGAAAGCTTTGGCTGGTGGCATCACACTAGGCTTGGCTATTGAGCCCAAGTCGGGAACATCAAGCCCACAGGTATGCAAAGCCATTAAACACAGAAATCCCAGTACCATGGGCTGGGAGTCTTCTGCTTTCTCAGCTCCAGTAAAATGAGTGGGTAGTGAGAGTTTTCAAAAGGTTTATTAAGACCAGGAAATAAGAACATAGCTAAATGTCTTTCTGCATTATTTGCCGCCTTCACCTACATCTGGTGTACTTTCTACAGCAAAAAGGAGCACGTAGACATGGGAATCACAGGCAGTATGTGTTAGGATAATGTGCAGAAGTGGACAACTTACTGTCCTCAGTGATTGTAAAAGTGCATGAACTGAGACATTGCTCCATCCCAGGGAGATTTAAGTGCACCAAGTCATCATGCAGTGATGGAGACCTACTTCTGCTGATCCCCTTTTAGTCACTGTCACCTTTGGCAAGGGCTGCATCTCACATGTTCATGATGGAGCATGGCAGTCCTGGCTTATGCTATAGATCTGTGTCCCAAACAACTGTGTAGCTGCAGCAGAAGTATCAGAGAGGGATGTGTTAGTTCTTCTGGGTGACCCAATATTGTTTAATCAAAGAAAACAAACTCATAATTTTCATTACAGAATACACACTTTGTTTTGTTTTCTTTTGTTCTTACCTCTTACTCATTTATCCATCATTATTACAAATATGGTTTCTTTAAAAAAAAATGTGCAGTTCTAAGTCTAGATAGAAAACATTGCCCATGTGGGGAAACTCAATGTAGGCTTTTCACTCTTCATTAGTCTCCAATTTTCAAGCACCGAACTTTGGAAAACTCTCCAATCTCCAGTTGTGATACCAGTGATACAGAATGCTCAATACCTGTGAACAGCGCAGCGGCTCTGAAGCGACCTCCCTCATCAAATAATTCTCCTTGTCGAGGCCATGTCCTTCGAAAAGCAAAGGTGAGAAGACTTACGTCGTTTTCTTTTTCTATCCTTGTTATTACTTCATTAAAAAATCTTTTTTGCTCGTGGAGAGAAAAAAGTCAGAAAAGGAGGGAGGGAAAGATTGGTTCCTGCTGCTTCTGTGGGTGAAATTTAGCCTTAAGAAGAGAATATGCTCTATCTAAATTTATGTATTACCACGTAAATACTGCTGATTTGGGGGAACCTTTTGCAGAAGAATTGGTAAGTAGTTTTGGAGACAGATTTGACTACTGTCTCATTCCTTATTTTTCTCTGTTCCTTTATAGATTTAATTTGCAAGGTAAGTGGTCTGTGGTGTGGACAGTCCATCTAAAATTTATAAAGTTACACTAATCTGTGTAGCAGAGCAGTGGTTAAAAGAGCAGTGGTTAAAAGTGTTCTGAAACAACACAAGGTTGGGTCTCTTTGCCAGCTGGTACAAGAACAGAGTAGTTGTACATTATAATAATCAACAATTGTTGTGCAAGTATCTACTCTGAATGTACACTTAAAGTAGAAATTTAATTAGTTTAATATAATCTCAGAAGTACCAGCCTGAAGTTTGCAGTCCTGTTCTGTAGTTACAGTTTTCTAATTTTTGTGCTTTAGTTTAAATGGGATTTGCATGACCTGTCTGCTGGGCTAAATTTGCTAGCAACATAAACATGCAGGCAGCACGTAACCAAGGGTGACAGTAGTAGTGTTGGCCCAAGCTTTTGTTGATTTAGTAGTTTACTGCTAATTGTAATTATAAACAATAATAATCATAGACATTTGTCTTTCATGCAGTCCATTTCTTTTTTCAAAACAATGAAGTATTCAGTATAGGGGTTTTTTTAAGTAACTTTTGTTACATGTCTTCATTGACGATACACATTTACAGTGATTGAACATGAGCCTGGCACCTAAATGTAGTAAATACTGAACAATAATCTCAACAAATTACTTGGTTTTCTGGCACATCCTAATCTCTCCATTCCGCCTCCCCGCCCCTTTACCTCTCTATATTGCCCAGGCCATGAATTATTTCTCCTGCTATACCTTATGTGAGAGCTTTCTCATGCTTCTACTACCATTTCCCCCATCCTTTCCATGGACACCGACTGCTTTTTCAGTCAGCTTGATTCATTTAAATTCAGATAAGAATAATTAGACTCAATGTAATAGGTTTCAGTTCTATTTAACTTTGAAGTTTGCTGCTTGTGTTTCAAACCTAAAGAAGGATTCGTGTGCTCTAAAGCTTATCTGTGTATTCCAGTTATACCCTAATTTGTCTCATTAAGATATCATTTCTGACTGTACACTGTGTCTTAGATTTGCATGTTAGCACAGTGTTACTCAGGGAATGTGGTCTAGCAGAGCACAGTCCATACAAAAGGGAGAATGGATTTGTGCTACGTGCTGGACAGACACATTAAAGCCAGCAATTTAATCTTTACAGCTGGAGAAACCAGGGCACTGTAAAAACCTAATTTTTGGTGTAAAGAATACCTTCCAGCTGTAGTACATTTTTCATGTTCAGCATATACCATACAGGAAAAATGCTGCTGCTTGTTTGGTATCACTGTGCTTTGGATGGCATGATAGGTTAGTCAAGCTCTTTTGTAGAGGAATGTTGGATATAAGCATATCAAAAAAAGATATGCTACTAAGCATATTTCCCATCCTGGGAAAAACAACTCAAAAGTATCCAATTCAGCTTTAACAGCTTTTTCCTAAAACCTCATGCACTAAATACTGAGTGAAATTTTGCTGAATTAGATAGTGCAACTCAAGCTGTACTCAGCCCATTTGCAAGGAGCTGCAGCCAAAGTCTGCCATCAGGTATGCATCTGCTGCACACCCTGCTTTGGGGGCGGTTAACTGAACATGTGCGAGGATGGAATTTGGCTTTCAATTCTTTTGGCCTTTTGCAGTTGCAAGTGAGCCAGGCCTTTTAGATGTGGCTAAGGAAAGGGCATCACACGTGAGTATCCCAGAGCAGAACTTTCTTGGCTCTCCATGCATGGATGTCGGTGCAGTATGTGGGAGTGAAGCAGTTTTCATGTCTGTGCTTGTGCTTGTATCTTCAGCAACTGGCAAATCTCCCAATGTTATGAGGGAGTTGTATAAGCATTCAAAATATCAGGGTTTTTTTCCCCTCCCATTTGAATGCACCGAATGCCTTCCTTCTTGCTCCTTCCTTGCACGAAGGTTGCCGAGTCTGTCACCAGCCAGCCTTGTGCTTGCAGCCACGCTCGTGTGCCCCTCGTGCTCGTGAGCCGCAGGACCGTGCTGCGCTCTGCTGGGGCAGCTGGTGCCGGGAAAGGTGAGCGTGGCACAGCTCGCTCTGTCAGAGCTGGCGGCACACCAGTGCCTCGCGGGAGAGGCAAGGCACCTGTCACAGCAGGCTTGGAAGGTGCTCCACCAAAACCTCTCTCCTCTCAGATGCACTGACATGAGAAGGAAATATAGGCAGAAGCAAGAGGACAGATCTAGTGCTAAATCTAAGAAGTAGCTGCAATTTGGGGATTGTTTAGGATATACACTATATATATCTATATATATATATATATATACACACATACATATATTTGGGGGTTTTTAACTTTTCTGTTTGTAACATATACTTTTAATTGTTTTCATAAAATAATAATGCATATTTTTAATAAGTCAGAAGGCATTTTAATTGTGATTTTGTTAAATCTCTCCTTGGCTGGAAATGGAGATGGTACTAAAATGTGGAAAACAATATTCTGCATTAAGCATTCCTAGAGAAGTAAAAAGGTCCAAATATCCTTGCTGTACAAGAAAAACAATTTAAACATTTCACATTTCAAATTACTTTCTAAAACCACATTGTTACGTATAACAAGGAAACTACAATGATTATTTCTGATGTGTTTTCAAAACTGGTGGACTGGTGAATGTCAGCAGCTTACATTTTGCTTATGTTCAGAGACTGGTGAGGAAAAGGAGCTTTCCTAGTTTCCCAGCTCACAGTCAGGCTGTCAGTGTTGACTTAAACATTCTTTCATTGGTGTGAACCTGCTGATGAAATGGAAACAGAGAAAAAGATCCTTCTGCACCTGCAAAAGAAGCTACTGCTTTCAAGGCCTATTTAACACTTTACAAAATTCTCCTCCCAGTTGCTTAGCCAAGGACCTCCTTTAGAGTTTTAGTAGCATATATGTAGGGAATATATATATAAAAGCCTTCTGAAAGTAATTTAGTTTTTGCTACCACTGTTTAAGATTAGGTCTACTATAATTTGAGGTGTAAAACTGAATATTTAAAGTACATTGTATTTTAATAAAAGCACTATTTAAATGAAGGACACCCCCCCCCCCCAAAATTAAAAAAAAAAAATTCTTGTCTACCTGCTTTAAACCCAAGATTTTTTTCTTACATTGCTAAAGCAGCCTCCGTGACCTTTACATTTGCTTGTTGAAGAGGTGTTACGGTCATGCAGCTGTTCAGCCAAACTAATGCTATTACTGCTTTCAGCCACAGACACAGTTATTTACATCCCTAAGTAACGGTTTTCAGTCAGAGCTCTTAAATGTTGTGGAATGAGTGTTAAATTCAGGAATTCAGGTTGGGAGCCAAGTCAGCAGGCTGCCTGGAGAGTGTTTCTGCAGAGTAGATGGGTGTGAGAAGAATCTGTAGATCCCAGTGCCTGGCTAGGAACAGCTGGGTGGTTGTTCCATGGGGATTACTTCAGCAAGAGGCCAACTCCTTCATATTGATATTGGTTCCGGATCGCTGTAAGGGGGTGATTCAGGGAGTATGTACAATGTGAATGTCCTAAACTGAGCTCATCCTTCTTCAGCTCTTCTGCTCCTGTGGACTGTTAAGAAATACTGTAGGTACACTCAATAGCCACAAGTTTGATTTAACTGGGTGTTTAGCTATAGCAATCTCAACATTTTCACTTATGTGGCAGAAGACATGGCAATACTTTGCTCTGAGACACATGGGTGAAAGCATTACAGATTACGTGCTCTGCTGTGGATGGTAGGGGTCATTGTCCTCAGCTAACATGTGTGGAAACTGAGGCACAGAAAGGCACAATGATTTCTTTAACTTGCTGAGCAATAGCTCAACTTGGATTATGTATATGGGAAACAAATGCAGTCTAATATAACTTGTTTTTCTTTACCCTGCCTGTAAGTGTCTCTGCCTTAGTAAGTTGCCTTTTTTAGCCATAGAAACTTGTGTCTGCCAAAATAAAAAATTGAAGATTAGTAAAGCAATCAGTTGATGCCAGCTATGAGAGATATTGGGTGCTTTTTGCTGTCTCCAGCAAGTAAGTTAGAAATCCCTATATGCTAAATCAGCCTCTCCCTTATTCAGCTCCAGCTGAGTGCTTTACACCAACTGCGGGGTGAGAATTTGCTCCGTAAGTAACCTTTACAGAAAACAAATATGGCTTATTTGCTTTGCACTAGGAAAAAAGGTTGCCGTATGTAGTTGCGGAGGTGTGGAAGCTACACACAGACACTACCAGGACATACTTGTTAGCATTCCCTAACTAATTGTGGGCAGAAGGCTGGATCCAGTGAAGTCAATGGAAAAACTGTTACTGACCTCAGATGGCTTTGGCTTAGGAGATCTGATGACATCAGTGAAATACCCTGATTTCTCTAACATTTGCCGTATCTTTTTTTTCTTTAATACCCTTCCAGGAATGGGAGATGAAAAATGGAACATAAATATAGCAAAACCACTTGCTTTCCATAAAGGCCTTACCTGTTATGGACCAAGACGTAGGCTGCAAAAGACTCATCTGAAAGGTGGTATCAAGCGATACAACATAAGAGTTTTTTCTAATTCTGTTAAGTTAATGGTAGCTTGGCGCTAATTTGCCTGTATTCCCTCTACTGTATTGCTGTGTAACTACATGTGCCCCTTTTTATTAGCTGTAACTCTTTATTTCCAACTTCACTGGTAAAGAAAATTAAAACCAAAAAAACCAAACCAACCATAGTAATTGAAAAGGAGCATAAAGTCAGAGTTGAAAGTTTACTTTCCTGAAACAGCATAGACCAACAATGTTAATGAAACCATAGCTCTTACAGCTTAACACTGACTTTTGAGGTGTGCCACAGAGGTGGCCGAGCGACTTCTTGCTCGTTAGCAGTCGCTTTGCTGTTAGCTGTTCATGTGGCAAAGAAAACTGAAGAAATGTATTCCCAGAAATGTCATGGCCTGTTTGGCCGGGAAGGCAGGAGCTCTTCAGTGTCACTGTCCTCTACGCTGGTGTGAGACCATGGGATAACACAACTCACCTGTGAAGCAATTTTGGATACTTCTTAGACAGATGCTTTTGCCATTGGAAAATGAAAAGCTGCCATACTTCGAACAAAATGCATTTTACTACATTCTCATTATTATTATTCTGAAGCACCAGTCATTTTCAAAGGTCATGTTGTTGAACTATGACTTGTTCCTGATTTTTTTAAAAGGCAAACAGGTATTTTTAGATACTGCTTCTTTTCTATACTTTTTTGAAAATAAGAAAGATAATTGAAATTAATCCTCAACAGATAATGGCAACTCAGAATAGCTTATGCAGTCAGTCTTGTTTTGTTTTTTATAATATAGTATTATTGTTAAACTTGAGTTATAGAACACTGCTGTAAAGTTTCTTTTGTCTTTTCAGACCTCAGCTATTATATTTGAGGAAGACAGACTGAAAAGATTATAATTTCCTGACTCTTCTATAAGCAATTTTACAAAGAATTGGGGATTTTTCTCAGACAGGAGTCCATTTCTGTTTACTAGGAAACAGCGTCTTGCATTTTAGTCTGTAAAATTACAGAAATCTGTTCTTCTTTGTCTCCGTTCATGTCATTCCTGAGAACTTACATGCAGTAAATTGCCAACTAAAGTCCTTCAAAATCTCAAGATTGGCTTTAAAAAAATCATGAGAGAGAGAGGAAAAAAACATTTAATCAGTTGGTTTCTTTTAATTTTTTCTCTGTGTTTTTATCAAGCCTTTGGAGAGCCTTCAATCACATTCTCAAGATTTTTTTCCTCCCCAACTGTGAGGACTAGAAAATTAATTAAAAAAGGTTTTATTCTCATATTTTGAGATAATCACAGATGTTAGGGCTGGAGTCTTGATAATTAGGTAAGATTTGTAATTAAAACCACAGAAGTTGGCAAGACAGCAGTTATCAAGGATCACATCCCTTTGTGGCCCAGCCTACGGTTTGTCTCCTACCTTTAGGAATGAATGGGTGTGCATAACTCCTGCAGGGAACACTGAGATTCCCAGCTGAGCTGGACATCGGAGGACTTCCTGCAGGATCTAGTGGGATTTGAAGGCACAGAGCTATCAGAAAGACCTGATAGCTGCTAGGACACAGGGCTGTGTCCTGTTCCCAAATGCAATTAGTGCCAAGGATCCCATTGACCTTAGCAGAGTAGAAATAGGGCCCAACATGAGAAAAGGCTCTTTGCTTCTTGGGACTGTGCTTTGTACAAAGTGCCACAGGAATGCAGATACAGTAGGGAAACAAGTGTCAGTGTGGTTTTCACTGAAAACAGGATTTTTTTAATATTATTTTAGGTCATCTGCTTAAGTACTAACTATAAGTAGAGGGCACATCGTGTGCTCTATGACTATGGACTAAACAGTATCAAGTTCCCATAAATATTAGCAGAAACAAATTTGAAGCAAAAGTAAGTTCATTTAGGCTTTTTATTTCAAATTAAGTTATTTATTTGTATATTTCAATAAATATTTAATTTATATCTGTACATATTTATGATGCAAATTAGGCTTCTAGTCAACGTTTGCAATGATGTAACAGTTGCCATTAAGAAGTGGTCCCACATTAAGTAAGGCAGAGTACTCAAAAGCCAAATCACTTGTCTTGTTTACCTAATATTGGCATTGTATCTTCCGCCCCTATATCCCGTGGAAGAAAAAATAATTCCTTGGCAAGGACAGGTTTTAATCCATGCCTCATACAGAAGCGTGCAAATTTCTGTCCAAGCAAACTGAAATCGCGTGGTGCTGGGGCCACACACACAGCCCCAGCCCCGGTGCTGCAGCCTTCTGCTCTGCTACAGACCCTCGGCACCTGTCCTGCCCTCAGCACCTATAGCACCCACTGCAGCAGGAGCTGCTGACAGAATTAAGCCTCTTTCGCCCTTCCTCCAGCAAATACCACCACCCTCTCGCTCCCTCACCCGGCACGCACTGTAACTGTGTGTCTCTAACGGTTGAGCACATTGGTACCATTGCAGTTTGCATTAGTGGCATCTATTCTATATAATGCCAAGGTTTTAAAAGGAGGAAAAGAAAAAAAACCTCTGGAAATAACCTCTCTGTAGACCACATTCAGTGCTGTGAAATGTACTCTGTGTTCTTGAATATTACTGTTGCTGCACAGTTTTTTAAAAAAAGCAACAGAGCTTGTATTTTCACCATTTTTAGATTTCAGAATCACCAGGCAAAGTCAGCAATAGAGCAGCATGACTTCTGTTTTAAAGGAAAACTCTTGTATTTTAAACCATTTCTGTCTTTTAAGAAAATGTTACACTTGTGCTTCCTCAACAAACTCCTGTTACTGTACCAGGTGCTTTTTTTGAATTGTTTTTTTATGGGTGATGCTTTTTCTTAAAAAAAAACCAGTTCATAACTTTGGGGGATCAAAGCTGGTTTTTTTAATGAGATGACTGTGGCAATTTTTTAATTTTTCAAATGGAGAATACATAATTTAGTATCAATTTTTGTTAAAGACACTTTCAAATTAATTGGCCCAGGCTGTATGTTGTAAGATAATGTTCTCATATTAAGAATGTAATTATTTCCTTATTGTATTTTTTAAAAAACAAAATCATATTTAAAAAAAATCTGTGAAAAAAGCATGAAAGAAACATGAAAAAGTTTTTGTTTTATTTTTGTTATTGGATATGTTGGCAGTGCCCATTATAATTGACTGTAAATATAGTCTTTCTACTGTATTTCTCAAAGTATTTAAGTTTTTTGACACACATTCATGGAAACTTCAGTTAAAAAAAAAGTCCAAAAGAGACCCACCTTCAAATGTGTGTCGTAGTAGCTTCAACTAACTTTATGCCTTTCTAGTTTGTTCTTCAGAAAGTCTTGCAGAGTGTGAAAAAAGACTGGCACCTGGTAGGTGCGACAGACCCAAGACCATTATTAATAAAGTTACCTGTCAAAAAAATAAGTATTTGCATTGTTGTTTCTTGGTATTTGTCAGTATAAGTAGGTGGGCACCTTAGGGGGACACCTGCAATAGTCATCCTCAGCCAAGTACCAATCTCCCACACCGGTCAGTTGAGAAATGCTTGGACAGGTTATCATTAGTGGGGTTTTTTTGGTAACAGTTCTGTCCCCTTTTAACTGTGCGATGACCTTGGCCAATTTGAATGCAGTCTATCTGGAAAATGGAAGTTCAGTGTATTCAGAGCTCATAGCAGAAGTTGTCACTTATCTAGTGTTACTGTATCAGTTTGCTTACGTGTCAACCCCATTCATAAATAATATAAATGTAAAATATTAAAAATTATCCCTAAGAAATTAATGTGGCTCAAAAGCAAACTGAGCTAATGACAGGCTACTTAATGATGAATATAGCAGGTCCTTATAGATGACTGACAGATGAGATTGAAAAGTGATAATAATGACTCCTTGTGACTTTTCTTAGATTTAGCTGTTGCTCCCATTACACTAAATTATTGTTAAATGTCATGCTTAAGTAGAAAATACATTTAATTTTACCAAACTCAGGGAAGCACTATTATAAAGTAGTACAATTGGTTTCCTGCCTGTAGTCTTGACCTCAGGAGAGAGAAGTGGTCAATATTTGTAAATTGTCATGGTAGTACAATTAGGAAGGATCGTCTCTCAAGTAGACACAGCTTTTATTCTGCTGAATCAAAGCTTATAACCCTTCTCTGCCTTTTGTCAAGTAAAAGCCTTCAAAAGCAAAGCAAATTATTAGTATTTCTCTAGAGAAAGAAAGGTCTGTAGAAAAGATACATATAGGACAGGTTGTATAAAAGCATATATATATATATATATATGTTATATGCAAAAATGAGAAAATTAATACCTTAAGTTACTCAGGCTTATGGCCTAGAAATGCCTTAAAGAGAATCAGTGTTTTTCTATAAGCTATATTTAATATTTGGTCTACCCAGTTGCATCCCAAAGGCATTCAATCTGAAACATCCCACCAACACCTAACTTACTCCATTGTGGTTTATTCCTGCAGGTGGGCATCCCATGTTGTAAGCATCACAGTGCTTTACTGTTAAGTTCTTCTCTTTTTTTATTTTTTATTGAAATTTGTGCAGAAATTGAGCACCATCAGATCCCTCATTACTGCATTTGAGCGCAGGGTTTTATAAAGAAAGGCTCCTGGCTAGAGAATGAAGGATGGCGAATGTGGAGAGGGAAGAATCACTCATTTTTACAGCCATACTGGGCAAATTGACAGGTGGTATAATAAAGTGAAGAATTCATGAACAGACTGAGAAATCACTGTACTGGCTAGAGTCAACACAGGTTTTATACTGGGGTGTCATTGCTCATGAAGTGCTAAGAGGTCTGTGATGCTGCTAGGAAGCATCCAGGAAAAGACATACTATGCTTAGATTACTTCAACACGCTTTTGACAAGGGTTGTCACTAAAGAGGTAGCTACTGGAGAAAAGACCCAATAGGATAACTAACTGGTTGGTAAAGAAACAAAAAATAGGGCATAAATTCTCTCTTTGCAGTCAACCTTGGGATTTAAACAGGGCTGGGCTCTGAACCTTGTGCAGACCAGAATATTCAGAAATAAGGG